ACACAATTTAGCAAACATCTCCCAATTTGTTTTAGCAAAATTCCATCTCATTATACCATCTAGCTCAACCACATTAGTTACATCAAACTTGATTATAATCGGAAAATGATCACTCCCAATACTGTTATTTGCCAATACCTCCCAACTGCTACCAGAAGCTAATTCACTTGATACCAGAGTTAGATCTATCGCAGACTCTGTTCCATCTCTAAAATTGAGTCTTGTACCTTGCCCATTATTTAAACAAACAAATTATTTTGCCTCCATTAAATCCTCCATTACCTGTCCGTTGTAATCTGTTGATCTCCCTCCCCACATTGTATTATGTGCGTTAAAATCACCACACCATATTATTTCATTTCCTTGACAAAGTCTGTCTAATTCCTCTATTTTGAGTTTATTACATGGATTGTAAAAATTCAGGACACTCATTTTCCTTTTATTAGCCCAAAGCTCACCCACTATTTCTATATCAAGACTGTTCTTAAATGTTAGCCTACTATAAGACATTACTTCTCTGATAAAGATTGCACATCCCCCTCCCTGACCATCATTTCTATCTTGTCTTATTGCACTATATCCCCCAATAATGAAGTCCAAATGAGTCTTCAGCCATGTTTCTTGAATGCAAATAACATCTGGTTTTTCTTTTAACTGATTTTATATATATATATATATATATAGGTCTTAAATTCTTGTCCATTTGCAATAAGGCTTCTAGCATTCCACTGCAGAATGAGAAAAAACATTAATCTAATCTACTCACTAATCTGTGAATCATGGGGGCTAGCATATCATGTAGCATTTCAACGGTTATATCCTTTACCCCCAAACATTCACCTGCTGCTTCCACTATTGATTTCAGTCTTGACCTCTTTTTTGTTTGTTGGGCAACATTCACCACTTTTCCAATAAAGGCCACACATTTGTACTTATTAACAATTAATGCATCCTCTCCTATCACACACTTATGTGAACATATTGTGTATAACCCTAACCCTTTGCCTGTGGGAGTTTGGGAAAATCTTTTGAGGAGAATATACTTGCTGCTACTTGGGATTTCCTAGTTAAGTTTTGCGATACCTGTTCTGTTGCTTCAGCATATGAGACTTTGTTTTGTACTTTGTATCTCTGCACCTCCTTGGCCTTTTTCTGCACTTCGCAGCCCTGATACGCAGCACTATGTTCCCCACCACAGTTACAACATTTCACCTTAGCACCTGCAGCACAACTACCATATTCATGTTCGCCCGCACGTTTTGGACACCTAGGCTTTGTTGCTTTGCACTTGTCTGCCACATGCCCAAACCTTTGGCATTTAAAGCACCGCAGAGGTTTAGGGATGAATTATGTTGAATTGATTCTTCAAACTGAAGAAGAACAGACAAACTATCCACTAGCTTACCCTGATACCTAGTAGGAAGACGTTTAACTACGGACACTTTGCCCCCTTTAATTTCTTTCTTGAGTTCTTCAATGCTGAGTTCTAGCGGAACTCCACTGATCACTCCACGTATTTTCCGATTTGCTCCGGGAACATGGCATTTAATTCGAACTTCATTCAGGGTCTTCATTTTCAGTAACTTTTCCTGTTGCTTTGCATTTATCATTTCTACCAACATCCGTCCTTTGCTCAGAAATCTTGCTTGCTTTATCGATCCAATTTCTTTGTGAATCGCTTTAGTCAGGGCCACAGGGTGTAATTTAATTGCGGATTGTTCACCAAACTCCACAATCACTCTTCATTCTCATTCCTTTTCTTTGTTCTTTTCATTCCATTCTGCGAATCAGACTCACTGAGACTGTCACTTGACATGTCTATCTTCTTTCTTGAACTCTTTGTTCTTACTTCATTCCATCCTCCTTCTCCTTCAGATGCACTTTCCATATCCTCCTCTCCAGGACTCAAAGACACCATTCCACCAGCTGCTCTCAATCTCGCACTCACCGTCAATCGACACCAGCCCCAGCAGATCTACTCCAATCAAGCGTCTTCCACTGAATACACCATCTCTAGGCCCTGAACTCACCATCACCTAAAGTAGGTAAACTCCTCCCCCAGAGCCAACCCCTAATTAACTCAGGGGGTATTTAAGACACCTGTTGCATCATGGCAGTCTTTGTTTGCAATCTGCTAAAAACCGAGAGAAGAAGAAGATGGCAGCCTTTGGTTCGTTTGCTGCCTGCCTGTTGTCACATGGCCACCTTAAGGGTAGGTCAATTGTCAGATGCTGGATGTCATGTTGGATCAGCAACTTAATATTCCTCATGCGCATTTTATATTGGCACTGAATTACATTAATTTGTAGTAGCCTACTGTCAGCTTGTATCCTGGTCCAACTGGTGTTCCTTTGGCCAAGTGTGATGCCTGAAGTTCCTGTTAACCTGGAGGGATGTGTGTTGTTCCTTGTTCCTTGTGGTATCAGCTGCTGTTTTGCTACTGTTAGGTTTGGCTTGAGTTATGTTTTTGTTTGAATTTAGTTTTGCTGTCTTATATTTAGGATTTTAGTGTATTTTACTGTTTGCTCGTTTGGACCAACTGGATAATTGTTTATTCTGCTTTATACTAATTGTTTCTTTGCCACTTGTAGTGGAGTTGGAGCCAGCTAGTGGTGGAGGCACACAGTCTGATTCCCTTCACGGCTTGTAGTGGTAGGAGCACTGGGACACAGTTTGTAGTGAGTTTTGATATGCAGTGAGTTTTGGTTTGCAGTGAGCACCGGTGGTGGGTAAGTGGGACACAGCCCTGTTAGACTGCCTCCCCCTGGCTGGTATCTGCCCACTCCCTTATTTCCCTCATTGATTTTTAGTAATGTTCTATATAAAGTGTTTTTACCAAGAATAAACAAATACATGTGATTGACATATTGAAATAAACTGTTAAACTTTTTCATTATAATTGAACCAAGTCTCTGTCTTGTGTCAGTCACAAACTTGTAGAGCCTTCTTATTTCTGAGGTGTAAATTAAATATCTCCTGGGGTGAAATTCCCCAGGTAGCGTTGTCAGGCATTTTGGTATTTGGGTGGCTCTGCCTTTAAAAACGACCACCCCGCCACATAATGATGGTCTTAAATTATATTTTTGCAAGATAAACATTAAAAATGATGATGGTCTCCATAACCTTGTAAGGCCCACGGTTGTAATTTTACAACATTACTTTAAGCTATCCTAAAAAAGTCAGTAAATGTTTTGTTTTTTTAAAGACCACATTTCAGCCTCACAATGCTATTGGGTAGTAAATGTGTCTATAGGTCCTGCCCTCTGGCCATACACTCACACAACTTCCGAATCTTCAAACGAGCAACATCTCTTTGTTTTATTGGACTGGATTTGTCAGTAATTTTGTTGTTGTTGTGATTATTACAATGTCTAGAACATGTACATATTTAGTTATTGTGGAATACATTCATCACATTTTGATTTTGAGCAGCTTATGTCTTTGTTGTAATATTACAACACTGGGTCAGTGTGGTAGTCAAAATAGCATAAGCACCTGTCATGGAGATTGCCCTTATATGTTCACATATGGAAATAAAACACTAATAGAAATATAATGTCTTTGATAATTGACTATAACTATGTTCTAAATGTGTCCTCTGTTAAGATTTTGAATTAAGACCAGAATTGAATAAATTAATACATTATTTCTAATCTGTACGCAAGGACCTAATGGCACATTTTCCAGTGAAGACAAAGAGAGGACACTGCAGCAAAGGGTACACAAACACACAATGCACCAAGTGTGATGTCCGTCTCTGCTTTTCCGATGATAGGAACTGTTTTTGGGACTACCTTGTATTCATATTTAATAAATGACTATTCATAAAAAATATGACTGATGTGTGATTATTATTCATGCTGTATCCTCCTGGGACCCAGCCCATTGACAAAATGTCCACTGTAGTGGACATTTTGTTAACATGCATCTCCTTTTACTCTTTTGAGGTAATCTATCAATCTCTGATGTACTGTACAGGGGACATCCTAGGCTTTCCAGTGATGTCATTGGTTACAATTGCATGCTGGGAAGTTCCTCTTTCTTTTCATCCAAAATGGCTGGCATGCCAATACAACATTTATAGAAGCATGAGAAGTAAAATATTGTTGAATAATTGTTATTTTTAACATGAAAATCATATGTTCTTTAACATGTGAGAAACTATATAATTACTTCTGAAAGCAATTAAATCAAGTTTTGAAATAACAGCTCTTTTATAAATGTCCATTCTAGTGGACGTCAGGACCATCTTCATGGACTTAATGACTCAATATCGTTGCAGGAGACAGAACTGAAGCAGACATATTCTGTACCAGATAGTTAAGGGAGATGAGGATTTGGAGCTCTCAGATGATGAGAGATGAGGATTTCACACCTGGGATAGAAGAGGGTCAAGAAGGGGGGAAAAGATGCAGGAGGCTCCATGAGCGCACAGATACAGATGGGGACGAGCTGGAAAGACGTGGGCCAAGAGTAGCACGTATGTCTTGTTTTTAGTGGAGCCATGAAAAATGAGAATTGCCTCAGGAATGCCAAGTTTGTTTCTATGAGCATGGTCAACTGGAGACCACATCCATAAAACTATTCAAGATGACCCTACAGCCCGTGCCGACTGGAGTCCAATGAGGTACTTTTCCCAGTAAATTGACTAAGTCTTTGAAGATCTGGAAAGATTCACCAAAAACCAAACTAGTTTTTTAGTGACCAAATAAACAGCAATGTTCAGATCAATCACTTAATGTTTTAAATAAAGGTGAATGTATTATTGTAGTAATATCACTCTATAACCATAATACGTTACATAGTCTGTTAATTTTGGCTGTCTTTTCAAACTAAAATGGTCCTGACGTCCTCTACAGTGGACATACTGTAACATTTAAAAATTGAATTAAGTCTAAATTGCAAGATGTTTTTTTAACCCTAAATAGGTAGGAAATAAAAAATAAAGATTGGAAAACATTTTTATACTGATAGTAAGCAATCAATCCTGCAAATCAACACTTAGTTGTTCAATATATTTATTCAGACAATGAGAGTAGAAATACAGAAATTCTGCTCCCACCTAAGCCCAACATTGCAATATTACATTTCTCTAAAAATTACCAAAACGTAAAAAATTATGAAAACTCTTTCATTTCTGTTCCAGAGGCTTCCTACAACATCTGAAAGGTCAAAAAAATAAATTCTAATGTATTTCTATATTTGGGCTTTACATGGTTAAACACATTGATACATCACAGACCGTCAAAGCCATACAGGCACAATCATGTACTCGGATTGGGCAGCCATCACAAGGTCAGCTGTACAAAATATAGCTACATTTGACAACATTTTTATTTTTGCTGAACTGGCTTCATTATTGCTGGAAATGTGTCCATTTAGGGCTGCAGAGCATCATACAGTATGTTTAGGCATCCCATCAGATCCAATTAGATGCTGAGTGGGATCTTCCACAACACGAGGGCCTGGTCCAGCCTTAAACACAAACAACGAAAGATCATTAGGAAGTTATCCTCTGAAATTGTGTCTGTGTTAACATGGAAATACACAATTTAAATCCTTGCAAATAAAGTCTTTACTTGAATAAGAAATTATGTGTAATAAAGAATTCAACGGTATTTATGACCTCATTCACTTAGTCTAACATCATTGTAGCAGAGGAACCACAATCTACCACAATCTTCAACTGAGGTAAGGCAACACAATGTTACGTAAGGGCAGTTAAAGGAAGTGTTGACATCAATTGAAACGTATCTAGCAATCTGATAACTGATATATCACATTTCTTTTCAAGACAATGTGCAGCCTTAAGAAAACACACCAATACATATAAATCAAAACAGAAAACATTGATTTTAGGTTGCTGTAAACTTATAGAACAACTGAGCAACAGAGGGATTATATCAGTGGGTATGTTTGTGTACCTTTGTACTAATAATGTAGCTGATTCCTTTTGGCATAGGCTCTAGACCAATAGCCTGTTTCAGCTCCTCGGAAAGAGCAGCTTGGTTAACTGGAAGACCCTGAATAAACCTGCAGAGAAGGAAGAAACATTCAATGACCCATTTCAAAGAAGCTAACAAACCTTAATAGATAGTATAAAACAGCTTATAGGAGCCACACAAACACCCATCTATCAGTGTATATTTATGTACATTAGTTAAATGTTTTGATAAATCAAGTAGTTTGTATGACAGTTATTTTTTGAAGACCTAAAGCCAACTAGGTCGGGTATCTGTCCACTCACTGTCCTCCGTTGCTCTCAGGGGGGAAGAAATGTTGCACTGCCTGAACAAACTCAGGAACATGCTGCTGCAAAGTGTAGATCACAGCGTTGGGGCCTGCATCAAATGTGTAGGCCAACTGGAGTGGTAGAAACAGAAGGGACCGTCATACAGAGAGTTTAAAATCCACCTCCACAAGTTTCACATCTTCATTACACCATCTCAGAAATTCAGCTTCATACCCTGAGAAACATTTCTTACACAAGAAAAACATACAACTTTGTAGCAGCAGTGATATAAAAGGGAGAAGACTACAGTTATACATAATGTACAATATCATAAGACATACACACTGCCACAGACCAATCGTCTGCAGAACATTTAAAGCATGTTTGTAGTTATGTTGTTTAAGCTAAATTGAACTACAACTGCATAAATAACTAATATTTTACAAGCAACTTCAAAGTTGTATGAATAATTATCTGACCTTCAAAGCAGCCATGTTTTAAATGATTACTCTATTTCTTTTTGAAAATATCTTAATCCTTGCTTTCTTTAAGTATCAGAGTTCCGAGACGGCGCCGGTCAAATGTACAAATGACAATAAAAGCCTTGAATCCTTGAATCCAGAGTTGTATTATTGTTGCATAATAATGCAGTAAGAAATACAAAAATTGTTTAAATATAGAAATAAAGAGATACATAAACAGCTGTCCAAAGCTATTCCTAGAGATCTACAGAAGAGTGAAGTTGCTCACCCTTGTCTCCCCGTAGTGTCTGTTATACCGATGCACCAAGTTGATAACCTGTTGAGACACACTGTTGAGGTAGAAGATAGGAGGGTATGTGTCAAGGCAGGTTGCATGGAACTGGTTACTGTCCTTCATGGTTAGTTCAGCAAATGCAACAAAGTCCTTTCCCCGCACCGCTTCAATCATCTCCTCCATCCGGCCCGGGACGACAGACTCTGCCCGGTGCTGCAGACACAGAACCAAGATAAGAGTGTAAATGAAGATATTCTTCACTTTTAACAATATTGACAGTAATGTTAGTATACCAACAGCTGTTAGTTAATGTAAGTGAACAAAGTACCTTTAGGAGACAGCTTGTTTGTACACTGGTTTGCATCCCAGATGTGCTTCCAACTGACTTCTTCTCAGCACTGGCCTGTGGAAAAGTGCATTCATTACACCTGATATACATTTTCTATTTTTAATTTAAAAAGTGTTCACTAGACAAGAAAGGCTTCTCAATTCTTTAATTTACCCTCCTCGACTCCTCGGTCCTCCGGTAGTGACCCGGAAATGGATTTCAGCGCGCCATGTTGAAGGACATCTCATTTCTCTAAATGCACATCGAGGACCGAGCATCGAGGAGGCTCTCTGGAGGCTCTCTGGAGGAGCTATAATCGAGGATACACTGATGGGTCCTCCACGGATCCTCCGTGGATGTATTTCCGGGAACAGTGATGTTTCAAAGAGTCGTGACGCACGGCCGGACTTATCTCAGCCAATGACAGCTCTGCATGCATCCCCTGGATATTATTGTATTAACTGCTTTCATCGCGACGCAATGTTTACAGAGAGAACAGCTGTGAGGTCCGTGCAGAAAGCAGAGCAGTGTGTATAATCACTCAGTATAACAGGACTACATTACTCGCTTTAGTAGGGGGGGGGGGGGGATATATCCAGTCTCTGATTATGTTACTATGAGAGTGCTCTCTTGTTTGATTCTGAAATTGTATATATTTATATAAATGTCCGTATCTGTAGCCTGTTATTGTCTCATTATACCGCACTGTGAATGAATTAAAAGTAAATATATAAGTGGTCATGAACACATCTGTCCATCAGATGTGTTCATGACCACTTATATATTTTAAAATGACCGCTCAGAGGAGAGGATTTCTCATTTCTCTAACCGCCTGCTGCTTCCACTCCTCTCTCCTCGGTTCCCCTCCTCGACTCCTCCGCTCGCATCTCCTGTGGGCGGGACTAAGGCCCCGCTCACACGGGACCGTTTGCGTTTATGCACAGTATGCGTATTCAAAAAAGTCTTCCGTTCACATGCATTAGTTTCATTTAACGTGTCTGTTCAAACGAGGCCGCTGGAAACGCTGTAGTACATATGCCGGGACTGTAAGTGGCGCTGTAACTTCTGCCAAAATACACCAAAAGTAGCGAAGAAGAGCAGCCCAGCAGCCCCCGCCGCAATGTTGCCATGGCTACCCTTCTGTTCATGGCCCGCGGTGTATTTAGCAACATGTAGTTCATGTAATTCTCCATGTCCACTTGTTGCTGATGGTTGTGGTAGAGGAGCTGTATATTTTTTGCACTAATATCTGTAGCATGGTCAGTAGCAGTAGCAGTAGCACTAGCAGTAGCTACTGACAGGAGGAAGTGTGTGTGGCGATTGCTGGTATTCAGCGGGATATAGTAATTTCCTCAGCATATGGATAAATGCAACGGGGAAGTTAACTGAAAGAAACCGAATCTGTGGATATTGCATCGACCGACGTCTCCGTGGAGAGGACCTGCTCAGAAAAGAGAGATATTCTCTACAAACACCGGGTGAGATCCTCCTTTGTCAATATAATGGATCAATGCATGAAATCTGACTCTGTTTATTTTGTTTAAGGAGTATATTGGGCGTTAACAATTCTGGTTTGCCTTTTATAATATTATTTCATTCAAGAACCCCTTGTGCGTTTAATTAACACAGCTATTTTTGATAGTTGCTACAGCAGTGAGCAGGAGAGGTGGGGCTATCGCAATTTTTTCAGGAAATATTCGTATAGAGGTGATTACACGGACTCGGTTGACCCCCCAGAGCGTTTCGTTTGCAAATCTATCCACCTTGGGACCCGTTATTGTTTGTGGGGTCGGTTTCTATCGGCCTCGTGTAAATAATAGGGCTATACGCACGCGAAACTATGCAGATACAAGCAGTTTTCTCCTCGTGTAAACGGCGCCTAAGTCACGAGGATAGGAGTCGAGGAGGGGAAATTAGAGAATTGAGAAGCCTTTAATGTGTTTGCTCTACATGTTGCAAAAAATATTGTAATTCATAGTAGTAAATAAATAAAGTATGCAATATTCACAATAGACGATCAGTGCAGTTCAATCAGGACAAAATGATCATGAATTCACAGTTCTCTAAAAAGATGTACCTACCACAAGTACAAGGATTCTGAGCTCAGGCCAATGAGCCTCTGGCTCCACCTGCTGGGCTAGACTGTCCTTGCCATCATCTTTCTGTCCCATGATCCACTGCACGAACCCTCCATACATACTGCGGCATGCGCTGCCTGAGCCTTGCCGAGCAATCCCAGACAACTCCCCCTCTGTGCCAAACACCCGGGCCAGAGTGTAAACTGCAACACAAAGAAAAAGAAGGGAGTTAGAGCAGAGGAGGCTGAGTAATATGTATCTAATATCAGATAGACTGGTTATTTAAGAAAAGGCACACAATAAGATATATAGATAGATACTTTATTGATCCCAATTTGGGAAATTATTTTTGTTACAGAAGCATCATCAGTGTGTTCAGACAATAAAATAAAAATACTTAAAAAGTGGAATAGAGAATTAACAACTAAAACATAAAAGTAAAAATTAAATTAAATATGATATCATATCCTATATAAACAATATAAACAGTATAATAATTCTGGATAATTAAAAAGGCAATATAATCAAAGTATAACAAGTAAGTATTGTTCAAAGTATAATCAAACTGGTTTTATTCTATGCTGAAAGCAACTTTTGAGCTTTTACTATTAAAAAATAATACTTTAAAGTCATTAGTGTAGTGCGCACTCTCACCTAAACAAGCAAATCCAGCAGCAGAGGAGGCGAGCCCGGCAGCAGTGGGGAAGTTGTTAACCGAGCAGATGTGGACTTTGAGAGACAGAACAGACGGATCCAGAGCAGGGTCCCCATCATTACGTCTCTTCCTTGCTAGTCTGCGAACTAATACAGAAACAAGGAAAGATGACATAGTGGCTTACGCTGTCTCTAACGCATCTGTGTTTTAACGACGGTATATTAACAGACAGGACTCACTCTCTCTCAGACAGGACTGTAGTCTTGGATGGGTTATATCCTCCTCTTTGCCATTTAGCCATATTCGATCTTCTTGAAATGATCTGCTAGTTGCAACCGTTGTGGTTGTTTTCAGCTAAAAAGAAGGAGGACATGTCAGATATACATGTAATTGTTACTATCTTATCACTAACACAAAGTCATATCAGGAAATCTTAGGCTTAAGATCTGCAGACCACATATGACACCATTTATGTTATCCATCACCCAGGCACACATCATGGAAATTAATCATTTATTTGTAATGGCAATAAAAAACGTTTACAGTGACCATGGAGCACAAAAACGATATTATGTCAGCTCTGCTACAGAGTTTGTCAAAAAAATGTTTTGCCCACAGTGAGCATGAAAGAAACATTGCACGACAAACCACAAGTGAATATAAATATTTCATGACTGACCTCAAAACTGTAAATACTTTAACATAAACATGCCATGAGAAGCATTGTTGAATAAGCCTCTTTACTTTTATTTATGGTATCCTTTAATGATGGCAAGAAAACAGAGCTGTTCACTGTAACAGCTCTGGATAACATTTGACACAAAAACAACCTTTTTCCTACAGAAACCACATTCATTGTCTGCTGGATGACATTTGTTTTATTAAAATACCTGGTCTTGATGCAATGTGACGCTCAACGATGAATTAATGGGTAGAATTAATTCTTCATTTCTTTTTCCCCCTGAAAAGAAAGTAGACTAGATTTACACAAGATGCATACATGAATTATTATAAGATTGATATAACAGAGGTGGGAAGTAACTAAGTACATGTATTCAAGTGCTGTACTAAAGTACCATTTTGTGATACTTGTTCTTTACTTGAGTTTTGCATGTTCTGCTTCTTTGTACTTCTGAGTACTTTTACTTTTGGTACTTTAAGTATTTTTTTATGCCAACACTTTTCTACTTTTACTTGAGTAACATTTTGAATGCAGGACTTTTACTATGATCAGAGTTTTTTATACACTCTGGAACTTCTACTTTTACTTAAGTACAACATCTGAGTACTTCTCCAACTTCTGTGATACAATGACACAATATTAAAATGCTCAGCTGTAAACGTTTCCCTTTAATGCACTATATTCAGTAAAACATCCCGAACCGGTCCCCATAGAACAATAATACGTAAAATATTGTCGTTTTGGATTCAATGATCATTGCTTCTTAAAGCTAACTTAAACTCAGAACACAAGCATGCACACAAGTCGAGGTGATACTTACAGTATTTGATGACAGCTATATTCACTGGAGCGGTGCATGTAACTATGTTTGGCTTTTCCATAGTATTCTCAGGCATAGCTGTTTATGTAAACCGGTGTTTATATTGATAACACTGTACCTGAACACTCGGAAATACACTTTCAATGCTCCTCAGGGTTTAGCAGTCACAGTTAAGCTAACACTGTGTACAACCTTACTACAGCTTTTCATCGAGCTGTCTTCCGATTGGCTGTTGTCGAACATGTGGCTTAGCCTGCGACCAATCAGAGCTAAGCCGTTTTGACTCAACAGACGGAATAGCCAATGAGAGATCATCTGACCACAGTCGTGCGAAAATGGGGCAATAACAGAGACCATCCCACAACACTGCCTCACTAATGAACGGGGTAGTTATTCAGGTTTTTTTTAAATGTATAGTAATTTAAACATACTTAAAATACTATGTATATACCTGTGCATCACTTACACCCCTTTAGGCATTATTACAGCATTTTTACTGTATCACACTGTACATTTTGAGCCTGATAACCATTATTATTACACTACTGTATATTTTTACATTTGTATTATTGTGATATATATTGTAGTAAAATGTGCAAATGTTTCCTACAATATATAGCAATAATATATAAGAATATTTGTATTTGATTTTTTTCTAAAATTGTGCACCTGTTATATCTAATTTCTCCCTAATTAATAAAATATTCTGACTCTGAACAGCCTTGGGAAAGTAAAATGATGATTATGATATTCAATTATTATAGACCAATCTGACTTATACTTGTATTGTATACTCTCTAGGCTGTAGTTAGATAAGTACAAATTATAATTGTTTTATTCAGTGTGATACACGGTGTTGCAAGTACTGCACTTTAGTGCAATATGGGTATATCATACTTGAGTATTTCCATTGTGTACTACTGTATTATATTTCAGATGTTAATTGCACACACATTTGATGACCTTAATAACTATATACAAGTGTTAAACTAAGCAGTACATGGCAGTATATATTTAATGTTTTAAGAATAAGAATTGGGTAACACATTATTTTACATTTATTTGAGATTTGTTTTTAATGCATAATTCAGTGTTTTACGCAAAACTCCTTCCATCTTGCTGCTCCTTTCTTTAATGAGCGTTTCTTCATCTTCCATTTGACATTGTAGGAACACAAAGGTGTATAGTAATGATGAATGTTATTAAATCTGTATTGATTGCAGTCATTAAAGCTGACTGTAAAGTTATGGTAACTCCAGCTTACTTATTAAAAGGAGATTCATGTTTCCATTGGTTGTTTGACTGTGGCTTGGTACTTTCTTGAAATATATCTTATTCATGCTTTTCAGTTGAAAAGTAGTTGCATACACTTTGCCATCTGTTGACTCTTTAAGCTATTGATTCAGCAGAAATACAGAAACTGAAAACTATGTATATGTTGGTGAGGATACTGTGTAGTGATGCTGCAAAGTGTGTCTCTTCTTGAGTTGGGTATATCCCAATCATGAGAAGGGCCTTGACCCATCATCATCATCAATGTAAAAACCCTACATTTTGCAAATGTCAGAAGGGTTCACCACTATTTCATAAAATAACTAATCATTTAAAAATAGTTAACTAGAAAAAAAAAAAACATTTAAAATGTAAGACTTTTTTAATTGTTTTATGTAAACCTTTAACATACATCTCAGCAAAAAGAAAACATCCAAGTGCAACATACAAATGTTGGCCTGAATAAAGAGCAATGTGTTTATTAACAAAACAGTCTAGATCAAATGCACCAACAGCAGTGCACTTTGTATAGCTTCTTGTGATTGAACAGAACAGTTAAACATGGTGACAAAAAAAAGAGTAACTACTGAGAAGGACTAGAGGAGTAAAACAGTGCCATCAGCTGTTATGGGTACAACACAGCCAGAGCAAATTTGTAGCTACTTGTTTGAAAAGAGATCGCAAAAGAGCCCCTTCTTCGACACTGTGTGTATTATACTGCCTACCAGTTATGTCAAAATTTAACTCCACTTTGTTCTTTCCTCTTGGTAATGTCGTTCCAGAGACACACATCAGATAGTGTGGAATCCCAGGTTCTACTAACAGGTCAAAGACAGTATCAGAGTCCGAGTAAAGCAGATCCTCTCCTGTTTTTTGGCCTGTTCCTCCAGTTTAAAGTTAGTCATCATCCTCATCATCTGAGTCCATCACCTTCCGCCTGTTGAACTACAGAGAGCATACATTTTGTAAGATAGAGAAGTGACGGATAATACATCAAACATAGGAGATACTTCAGTGGGACTTACTGTCACAGTCATCTTCTTCTCGGTTTGCTGACAGACTTTTTCTAGAATCTCGATCAAGCCCGACTCTGAAATCTGACCAAAACAAAAAACAGTTATTGCTCTGCTCGCAGAGAAGGAATATCTATAACAAAAGTGCTTCAAGCATCAGAAAGTGGTGGTCTTACCTTTCCTCCCAACTTTCCAAAACGAGCCATTTGAATGAGATAATTTTCCACTGCATTGGCCTTATCCGGCTTCACTAAAGCAAGATTGTTCACTGAAAAAAAAAAGATTAGAAATATTATTCACATGCAGCAATGAACGTTTATCAAAAATCCAGTAAGAGGAGCTTTAGGTTTTCCTAGTAAATCCTTTATTGCCCCTTTCACACCGGCGCTTTTTCAGCTCCGGCTCGGAGCTGGAGCCTGAAAAGTACCGTTTTTTCCTGTTCACACCGCAGCGGCGCTGCCTCATAGCTCCGGAATGCGGTTCACTTCCAGCTCCAAAAAATGGTCGGTCTAGAGCAGGGGTCTCCAACCTTTCTTCATCTGAGAGCTACTTTCAAAAAATGAAAGTGGCCAAGAGCTACTTGCATCACATCGCTTACATTTATTCACATAGCCCTCATCAGTTGAATTAAGCTATACTTTTGTACACGTGTGAAATTGCAATACCTAAAGCTTATCAAAAATCTTAACTTCACATCAAGGTCCAAGAAAACGAAGATTTCTCACATATTATTATGGCCCACGTATACGTACATCACTTAACATTCACATAAGTGTCCTTAATCACCACCTTACAAGCATTTCACTCTTTTGTTAGTGAGATGAATGGCACTGGCAGTCCACCATACAGGTGTATGCTGGAGTGTACCCATTAGGTTCACTCTAATAGAGTCATTTAAATGTTCTTCAGTCAGTCTTGTTCTGTATTTAGATTTCATTCATGTCAGAAAAAGCTGCTTCACAAAGGTATGTAGAACAGAACCAAATAAAGCAGACATTTTCAGTGCTGCTTGGTGAATGTTCTATAGTTTTCGGGGTCTACAAGGCTCCAGAAATGTTGTGAGTTTTGCTGAGACTTAAGCTGAACATTATTTTGGAGATCTCCACAGGATTGACACTGAACAGTTGTTCAGCCATCTTTTTCTTCTTCTTCTTCGTCTTGACATTAAATTATAAACCATAATAAATCAATTGTATAGGTCTAGCCTCCCTATATCTGTGTGTGAAAATGGTTCCATCCTCAAAAACAAAAGACTAATGCTTCTGCAGTCTAGCTGCAGCTTCTAGCTACGGTCTTCTGTTAAAAAAAAGACACTGAATGTCCTGAATGTGGCATCACACACATGACTTAAGTCTGAACACAGCAGACAACAGGAGTATTTACAACAGCATTATAAAAACAAAAATAGTGCATGTGGGTGCACACTTACATTCTCTGTCTTACTGTTACATAAATCCCATGAATGTATGAGATTAGGTTAACTTCATCATATCTCGTTCAGTGATTAAGTGAATAATAAAGTTTCTATCGGGTCACTATCAGCCTGTCACTCATTATTTTCAGGGAGGGGGCGGGGTTTGGAGGAACGGAGAGGAGACGGTGATCGCGGAAGCTTTATTCCTGCCTTCACAAACTTTACACAAGTATTTATCAACTGAAAATAGCAAGAGGACATTCATACTCTGCAATCCAAGACTTGATTAAATCCACCAAAAACCTGACATGACGATAACGAGTGTTTTTCAAAAAACACAAATCCCTCCCTGTGTGTCTCTGAGCCGCAGCGACAGGGCCTGATTCAGAGCGGGTCATTCTGCTGTTGGTTCTGGACTGGTGTTGGTGGAGAAAGCAGACTGCTCCGTGTGTGGTGTCGCTGTGCTGCTGTCACGTCTGTTCCTAGATCTCTGCGTCACCGACCATTTGATATTCGTGTGACAGAAACAATTCTAAAATGAAAAAACGTTATTGGCAGCCGCGGCCGAAAAATCAATAAGCAACCTTACTACGCAATAATCGATAATCGAGCGGCGAGCTACTGAAAAGCTGCCCGCGAGCTACCGGTAGCTCGCGATCGACGTGTTGGAGAGCCCTGGTCTAGAGGCAAGAGCTTCGGAGCTAGAGGCGGCGTCGCTTACGTCTCTCTTACGTCGAGGCGTGCAGGAAACCAAACCCACCTCCCCTGAACATGGGTCGACTGAAGACTCTCGTCATGCCTGCCTACAAGCAGTAGCGCTGAGCAAAGTGACTAGAAGGCAACCACACACTTACAAAAAAAAAACACACTTTATAAAGTCAGGCAACACTAACCAGGCTTCGTGTGATTCTGTTTATTTGTACCTTACTTTGACCATCCGTTCGCTGTTATTGATCATTGTGGAGAGCAGGCAGACGTTTTGTTTTTTATTATAGCAGCTATCGGATGGAATCAATACATGGGCTGCACAGGCTGTCATGTCCGACTATCACAAGTAGAATCATAATGAAAAATACGCCGGTAAAATGTGCCTGTAGAAAACGGCTTAGCAAGTAGTCAGTTTAGCTTTGGTTGCTATGCTAACATCACCCATGTTATACCAGAGAAACTTTCATAACAGCGTTGTGATGCCAAACAGCGTCAATTCAGACTGACACACATTCACTTAAGGGGAAATGGGGATATGTATCAGCTGCTTGTGTGACAGTCAGACAGTGAATACTTTAGAGCCGTGTGAGCTAACCCGGAGCTAACGAGAGAATAAACTCCCGTGGAAGAGCAGCCGGCACTGCAGCGGTCGGTAAATGCCGCTGAAACACATTAATAAACAATGAACCACGGCACTCTGGAGAAAAGTATAAGGTTGGAGAAGTCGTTATTTAATTTAATTTGGCTTCGTATGATTAAAAGCAACACGATCATCGACCCAACGCAGTCCCCCGTTGTTGCTGTTGTTGTTGTGAGCTCCGTTGGGGAGAAAATCAGCGATGTAAACGGTGACGTCATGACGCAGCAGCGGCAGCTCTGGGCGGTGTGAACAGAGCGGGAGCTGAAAAGGGAAACCGGAGCTGAACCAGAAAAGCTCTAGCTAGGAGCTAGAAAGGGAAAAGCGCTGGTGTGAAAGCCGCATTTGACACTCTCAGTGAATAGAAACCACTCATAAGTTGTGTTTCATGTTGAATGTTTGTTGATTTTCACACAAATGTTTGCATTATAGTTTTGCGCCCTTTTTTTATATTCCAAAGAAATAAACATATTAAATGATTGCACTTTGTTCTAGATAGCATGATCAACTTTGAAAAGTTATTTGAATAGATATAACAATAAATATGAGAGCGAACTTACATCTGGCACGGGCAGACTGGTCCAAAACCTGAGCCAATATAGTGTTCCTCATGTCCGTTTCTCTGAGAATAAAATGGAAAATATTACCACATCAGCAATCACTGTCAAAATCTACAATTGGGACGAGTAAAGGGAAAACAGTAAAGAACAATTATTAAACTTTCGCCATCAGAACAGTGGATTTCTCCAGATTGGTCCCACAGCTACACAGGTTTAATATGATATAAAATGTGTATTAATTTTCTTTAAGATATACTGTAACTCTGAACCATCATCTCAAAAAGGTTGGTAGATAACATTTCCAGGTGTTCTTGTATACAAATGTTTTTGTTCTAATGTTACCTTTGTTTGGCCTCCTCTCCTTGTTGCTGATTATTTGAGGCATCCTGAAAGAACAGGTTAGAGCACCATTACATAAAGGTTACATTTGTTTGTAATCTCTTAAATATAATCATCACTTATATTTCTAGCCACTGATATGTGTAAGATATGTGCTGGGTTGGATATCTTTTTATTTGAAAAAAAGATAAATCACTGCCTTGCGGGGAAAGCTAAAAGATTGCAAGAATATAATGGTTTTGTAAAAAGTACAAGTATAAATTAATAACATTCTTACAACAAGGTAGTTAGTCATACCTTCAACTAATGTTTCATTTTGTTACGTGGATAGCTGGCCTGACTTCACACTTAACATTATTCTAACAGACAATTTATGAGAATACTTCACCCCATCTAAGCTCTACCCTGTATTTGTGAAATGGGACAGAAATACATTTAAATAGGTTAAATTGTTCATAAGTCATTGTTTAATTTTGCTCAGCTAACACTGTCATTGTCATTTGGTGCAGAGCTAGCAGTGCAAGTAATGGGACATTGGTTATTATTACTGTGATTTCTCTAACTAAATACTGAGTTAATTACATTTCATTTAGATGCACATGGCTATCTTAGGAGGGCTGCATCTATTCCCCTTACAGATGGTTAAATAATTTGAGTTTTGGTGACTGGTTTAGCCACACTAGCTAGCAGCATAATGAAGCTCTCTTCAGCATCTCCTTATAAGGCGGCCGTAAACACGCTTCTGCTCATGTTTTGTCCTTACCCCTTGCTTTGCCTGTAGTTCCGACATTCGTTGACGCCTAATTGCTTCTAATTCTTCGTCTGCCATGGTTAGGAATAGTGATGTGGACCCACAACAGTGATAAAGAAAGCGGTAACGTAATCAAATGTGCCCAAATTCTCCTCTGAGGCAAGGCCCTACCCAGTCCAGGGGAGTGTAGTCAATTTCGGAAAAAACGATCCAACACTAAAGCAATCGAGAACAGAGTAATGATCACACAAGAAAAACAAGTTGTCAGTTTATGGTGTACTACTCTAATACTTAATAATTACAGCATAGGCGTCATTTGCGTCATTCAGATTCACGTTGGCTGCATCCGCCAGCCAACGTGAATCTTCTTTTCTAATTTTCCAATAATGTGACTACAATTTTAAACCATTAAATCTTGTAGCACTCAAGTCTGTGTAGCTTTGTTTCAATTGTTGTCTTTCTTTAACTAGTAAGCAGACTGCAATGCAATATATTAGTCATATTAAAAGTCAAGTTCTACCAAAATCACTTCACACATGTCCTAACGATTCCTCTGGTGGTTTGAATACATTAATAATGTCTGCTTAAAGGTGGGGTAGGTAAGTTTGAGAAACCGGCTCGAGATACACTTTTTGTTATATTCCATGGAATGCTCTTAACATCCCGATAGCAATGAATATCTTAAGTGCTTTGACAATGAATACATGTATACATTGAAAAATGTAATCTGTGGAAGCCATAGTACTGTAAAAAGCACGACCAATCATTTTAGCCGGCTCAGCTAAAATAACTGGATGGCCTACCTGCCTGTCAGCCTTCCATCTGTGCACAAACTTATCTCGTGCCCTCATTGGTCAATTGCGCGTTCGTGTCAAGCCCCCAGGAAGTGCGCCGGACTCTGAGGAAAATATTCGTTGTGGCCAAACGGCGGTACTACACTTCCGTTAGGTTGCTGGGCCCGGAAACACTTTTTCCCATTGACTAACATTGGGAAAGAGATGAGCTCAGTGGTACACAAGTTGAAGAAACATGGCTTGGTTTCAAAAACAAATTCTCTGCAATAATCAATGATTTGGCCCCCCTAAGAACAACCAGGGTAAAAAATCGCGCTGAGCCGTGGATGCACTCCGGCATACTGACCGCCATGAAAACCAGAGACAAAAAATGCTCTGAGTTTCATAAAAGTCAGTCAATGCTTTCCAAAAGCACGAGCAGTGAACTCCAGGCCCACGTGACTGAACTAAAAATTGAAAGAAACAGACTAAGAAATGACGTAAGCTCCATGATCAAAACTGCCAAAAAGAATTTCATCAATGACAAAACTGAGGAAAACAAAAATAAACCGTGTGAACTTTGGAAATTACTCAATAACCAGCTTGGCTGCAGTAAAAAACTCAAAACGAGATTTTCAAACTTAAACATAAAGACAGATAACAGGCTCATCACAGACAAACTGGATGTGGCCAAGTACTTGAACATTTTTTTCACAAACATAGCCACAACTCTTGTAAATAAATTACCCTCCCACTCAGGGCTTTTTGGAGTAGATCACATCATGACCTACTACAAAAACCTAGGGGTACGCAAAGATGATTTCAGTCTAGCAAGGGTAACAACAGCAGAGGTACTCATTAAACTGAGCGCCCTCAAACCTAACAAGGCCACTGGCCACGACAATATCCCCTCCAAATTCCTCAGAGACACAGCAACCGCCATCTCACCAGTTATAGCTCACATAATTAATCTCTCCATAAAACAGGGAAAAGTACCCAAAGACTTCAAAATTGCAAGAGTAACCCCCCTGCACAAAAAGGGCAGCAAATTGGACCCAGGCAACTACCGCCCTGTTTCTATACTTACCTCCATCTCGAAAGTCATGGAAAAAATAGTATATGAACAGGTTGAAAAGTACCTCGCGGAAAAGAATCTAATCTATGAATTTCAATCTGGCTTTAGAACATCCCACTCCACTGACACATGCCTTCTTTATTTGAACGACCACATCAAACAAGAGGTGGACGAGGGTAAATACTGCGGCATGGTGATGCTGGACCTACAAAAGGCTTTCGACACTGTCAATCACCCCATTCTGATTGACAAGCTAAAAGCAATTGGTTTTGATAAACTATCGGTGAGCTGGATGCAATCCTACCTGGAGGGGAGAGAACAGATGGTGGAGGTAAACGGTACTCTGTCCCCCCCCCTCCCAGTGAGCTGTGGTGTTCCACAAGGAAGCATATTAGGTCCGTTACTGTTCCTAATTTATGCAAATGACATGTCATCAGCATGTGACTGCAACTTGTTCCTGTTCGCGGACGACTCAGCCCTGCTGGTCTCTGACAGGAGCAGATTGCAGGTTTAAAAAACCCTCAGCTCCGAGCTCGGCAGAATCTGCACCTGGCTCGCCGGTAATAAATTGTCATTACACCTGGGTAAAACAGAGTCCATTCTCTTCGGTTCGAAACATAATCTCAGCAAATCCGACGACTTCTCAGTTGCAGTGGGTGACATTATTGTCACTAGAAAGAAGGAAATTAAATATCTAGGATCTATTCTTGAGGCAAACCTCTCCTGTGACAAAATGGCATCCAATGTAATAAAAAAATTCAATCAAAGAACTAGATTCCTATACCGGATCTCCTCTCTGGTAAACAAAACAAAAAAACTCTGGCAGGAGCACTCATTCAAGGGTACTATGACTATGCTTGCACGTCATGGTACCATAGCACCTCCAAGGCGCTAAAAATAAAACTTCAAACATCGCAAAATAAACTGGTCAGACTACTGCTTGACCTTTCATCTAGAACCCACCTCACCTCTGCCCACTTTGACAACCTAGGATGGCTTAGAGTAGACGACAGAGTACAGCTACTTGCAATGGGCCTGGTCTACAAGATCCACTACACCTCTATGGTACCCATGTACATGTCAAAATTCTTCCCAAAGGTCAAGGAATACCATGATCATAACACCAGAGGGAGCTCCACAAATCATGTAAAACCCAGATTTGGCACAAAAAAGGGGGAATACACGTTTCGGAATTATGCCACATCAAGGTGGAACGCTCTTCCCACAACTGTAAAGGAAAGTAAAACTATACTTACCTTCAAAACCTCTCTTAAAGAGCACCTTAGGGGGAGAGCATTGCAAAACTGGCCCCGGTAATGGTACAAATCTCAACCTGTCGTACAATGGACAGCTCCCCCCCCCCCATCTATGTATATACTCGCATTTTAGACTCTGTTACTAACTGTATATCTGTAGACTTGGTATGTCTTAAATGTCCGGTTAGGATGTATTAGAACGAAATCTAAAATGAAAATTGTAAATAAGCCATCTGTATGTAAAAAACCACCTGTATGTAAATTGTAAATAAGCCATCTGTATGTCAAATATGTCTTATATGTCTTAAATGATATGATGAATTGGAAATGGGGGACCCTGATGTAAACAAGACGAAAGTCTTTCTCTGGTCTGCATCCCCTTAACAATTGTATGTTTTGAGCTGTACTGTACTGTACCCAATATACAAGCTGTTAATAAACTTTTCAATCAATCAATCAAAGAGTCTGTAAATCGTTGGATAATTTTTTTTAAACTAAATAAACTACACAGTATGAACGTTTGTATAGCCCTTATTAAAAACATTCGGTCCTCAAGTTGCAAAATGTGCTAATAACGTTATTCTAAGAGTTATTTTCCTCTGCATTATGAACGTGCATCTAACCCACGAGACCGCGCCGCCCGGCACGTTCATGTGACGTGTTCAGTACTACATGCGTTTTACCCATGGATGCACAATAAGAACGGACCCATATCGCCTTACTGCCAACCCACGGAGCTGTAATAATGGATATATTGCACATGTTTGCTGTAATTCATAATTTGTAAAATATTATACTACATGGGCTGTATGATGTAAATCTTGTACCGTAAATGTTGTATTAAATAAAGTAAATTTTCTTTCGATAATGAAACCGGTTCACCTTGAAATTGTACCATTTCCTGTGTTTTCAGACATCTAATTAATCATTATAATATGTTGTATTATACCCAATGTTGATTCACGACAGTTAAGAGACACTTCAGATTCATTGAAGAAACATTACATTTTATTCATATGTAAAGAAAGAGATTTATGGATAACATGAGACACACCAGGAAACATGTTTCTTATAAATTAAAGCCGCAAAACAGCGGTAATAAAATGCATGGATCAACTTTAAAAAAGAACAAAAAAAAAAGAACAAAGTTACAGAGTCAAAAGGACTCCTATAGTTTCCTACAGATGAAGCAGAGAAGGATCACAGCAGCCTCCCTCTGCACTCGCTGGACCCGCAGCAGCACAGCAGCACCTTCCCCTCCACGCTGCCCACCTCGTAGTTATAGTCCCACGTCAGCTCCGTGCCGGCATGGATCCGCCTGCACAGGGACACAAGCAGGATGTTAAAATAAAGATAAAATGTTGCACTAATACTAAACTAATTGTCTACTTTTGGAATTAAAGCTGGTGGTCACGGTGATCAATTATGTGAAATAAGGAATAATCACTTCCAGTTTAAAAGCTTCTTCTTCAAAATATAAATTCCCTAAAATCCCCAAAAGCCTCACTGCTTTAAAGTGGACCTATCATGCTATATTTGAATAATAGTGTAGGACCATACCTATATAAGGCATATTTATACTTTTTTTTTTTCAAAATACCAAACAGATCATGCATTTTAGCCATGCCTCATTTCGCTCAATTTGACAATTTCTAGCTCTGTATTTGCAAGGGCAGATTCAGTGAGAACAGCACCATCTACTGGCCTGGCATATGTACTACAGCGTCTCCAGCGCTTTCGAACGGCAATGGCCGTGGCTGTCTCCTCCTGATTGGTGGAGTTGGCCCAATAGCCGTAGCGCCACTGTCCTGACGTCAGGACAGTGTTCAAATCTGGATCAGTTTTTATCAGATCCGTTGCAGCCCCTTTTTTAGAGATTTGGGTATGGAGGAAAATAGAGAGGGTTGTGTTTTCTGACACTTGGTGAGTTCCCTGGAACACCGGGGACACATATTCATGTTTAAAAGACGTACAAAAGTGCATTTTGCATGATAGGTCCCCTTTAATTTTCCTCAGACTCTGAAAAAAGGATCTGTGACAAACTTAACATTTGTTCCAACACTCACTTGCTGGCAAAGAACGCCACCCAGGGAAACCTCAAGTCATGCGTGTCCACAAACACATTCTGGACGAAAAGGTTAGGACTACAGCTGTGCTGTAAGACAAAGAGGAGACGAGAGGGTCAAATACAAGATAAATACATAGGAAAATATATTAAATTGACCTCTAATGGATACACTGAGATCCTGTAGATTAAACACTTACATTGAGGTACCGCCCGAGGTTTCCTTCCAACTTGGCATCAATGATGCAGCAGGACTCTTCTCCGTCAAAGAACAGACGGGAATTTTTGTAAGTGTTTTTCCTGCCTCCTCCAGTGTGTCCCTGCTTTCCTGTTTTCCCTCCCTGACCTCCCTGCCCTCCCCCGCCTCCAGGTGGTCCCGTTTTCACCATCATGCCGTGGCTGCCCTTCAGAGCGATCCCACGAGTAGATTTCACTGCTACCTGCTTCTTAGTCACACCTGAGACAGAACAGCAGCAACAGAAGCAAATGACAATAAATAAAAAGTTAAAACCATGTGGTCAATATCTGTGTGGTGTGAATACAGTGCTTTAACATTTCTCTATTCCTCACCCGGGATGACTTTCTCTTTCTCCTTGTTGTCTTCAGATCCAGAGCTGTTGGTCTGAACATCATCACTGTCAGAGAGAGTCATCACATCCTGCTTCTTCCCCGACTCTGACTTCACTTGACTGCACACAAGACACACACAATTTATCTTAACAACAATCAAACGTTATGTTGTTGACCACAGCGATTAAGAGCTGGTGTTAAACATGTTTGAAATCAGGAACAAATATTTATCTATTTAAGCATATTTTGGTAAGTCCAACACACCTTTTGCCGTCCCCGGACTCCTGTAATGGAATAAAGAAAATAAACGATCATCAATCATTGACAACTACAGCACAACATCTCCTGGAATAAGAGCCACCTTTTACATAACAAAAAGGTCTAATGAGGGGCAAATTATTTAAAAAAGGCTGTCCACAAAGAGCTCGATATAACCTTATTCTCAGCACTCACCTTCTTCAGCCCCTGGCTGGTGAGCCATAAAGCCACTTTGCTTTTCCCCGTCTCCTCAGGCATGGACGGCGGATTCTTCTCCTCATCGGTTCCTTTTGCTGAAAGGCTCAAGCCATCTTTACTGTCTTGACTCCCTGGGGCAGGAAAGGAGAGGTGTGTATAAAAATAAAGAGCTGAAATCTTCCAGTTTCAAATACTATTCCATTTTATTTATTTGTATTCAACTGTCTCCTGATGAGCTTGGGGTATGGGCTATAATAGATAAAGAAAACACATTATTTTAAATCACGAGGAGAAGGAGTATGCGTCAGCCTTGGTCAAGAGAAGGAAAAACAGCTGAGAATCTAACCAGGTCCATCATGCACCATCTTGATCTCTCACCTTTGGGCTTGGACTCACCATTTTTGGGCGGCCTCCCTCCAGCTTTATTTGTTACTAAAGCGGAGGGTTGGATTTCTATCCTCGACACGTCCACGCTGCTGTCCGAGCAGTGAGCCTCGCTCTCATAGCCCTCCTTGAAGTTCTCCACACTCTCTATATGGTCCAGATTGGCAAAATACTCGTCGCCCATCTCTAGACCTTCTTTGTCAGCAAAGTCGTCCGTCAAGATTTTACCTGGTAAAACGGGAGGGAAAGATATAAAGAAGCAGTGGCGTTTTTATATGTACAAAAGTGGTGGGGCACAAAAAACTTAGATGTCTATATATAAGCTTCTGCAGTGACGTGCAGTGAGGTTCATGGCTGGTGAGGCACTGGCACTGACTCTTCAGGTTTACAAATATTATATTTTGACCTAAACCAAAATATAATATTATTTTCAAAAGCTTTTTTTGTCTGATGCTTCGATTAATTTTAAACAGACAGTTCAACAAAAGGATACCCAAAAAATGTCATTTTATCATTTAAATATTGAATTGTTCTCTCTTAGTAAGATCCCATTTTCAATAAAATGGCGGTCTTACCTTGACTTGAAGATGAAGTCCATTTGCCTATCCTTCTGGACAAACATTTCTATTACTTTTTTGTAAAAGTCCTCCTTATGTTCTTGTAGTTTCAAAAGTCTATCATAAATCTAATCCATAGATTTATAAAATTATAAAAGTAGGGTAGACATGTGGATGTTATCCGGCTAATCAAAACGTGCATTTATCTAACAGGTACGTTTCCCACAGATCTTATTTCGAGCTATTTTCTAAAATCCTCTGGAGAAATCTCATTGCTTTTTTGTGCTTACTTCCTGGTTTTAGGACGCGCCACTGCAGCTCTCTCGTCTCCTCTTCACACAGCACACTTTTCGCGGCACACGTACTTACAGCCAATCAGCTCTGAATGATTTGAGATGACGTATGGTGGGGATGGTAGCTCCATGCCCCTCTGGTCATTATTTTTTTGCCACACACATTTCATTACAAAATACTCTGAGCATGCGCAGTGAAGTTTTTACAGTCACCGTTGACTTCACAGCGAGAGGAAGGGGCATAATCAGGTTTTGTCCCACATGGCTCTAAACAGCTCAATAGGCACACACTGTGACTGTAGACACACTAATTAGAAGAACACAGACTAAAACAGCAATGTACAGACGAATCAGATGATTAAACATGATCTTAAAATATATTTTATATATTTTTTTATTTATTTTTTTGCATTTTTGTAATCATTATTTGTAATACTTTCTGCTGACACTAGGTGGGGCTGTGCCCCACCTGCCCCTAATGACCAGTCGCCACTGTAAAGAAGTGAGTCACTTTGCAATCAAATCATCTCCTGTTGAATTGTTATGAATAAACTTAAGATGACTGCTTGTGAGCCTGTATTCCGTCAAATCTATCCTTCCAAAATTGTTCCCCTTCCTCACCAGCATAGATGCAGACAAAAGAGCCTTTGGCCATGTCATCCAGACAGCGGATGCCCCAGCCTTTGTTCTGGGTCTTAAAGAGCTGGAGACGCACCTGCAGACCATGCTGCACCAGCCTGTTGGTGCACATCTCAGCACAGCATTTACACCGCTTATTACACTCGTAGATCCTGAGGGAAAGAGAGCAGGAGAGAAACATTCAGACAGGGAGAAGAAGAAATAACAGCCTTATGTCATTTTGAATGGTGTGTGTAAAAGTCTGACCCTGTGGGGAGGCACTCCTCTAATCGTTTGTGCAAAAATCCAGCATTGGTGTTAATCTGTGCCCCCGGTGTACAACCTGTAGCCTGAAGGGTCAGCTGGTGGCAAGAGCATTTGGACCTTTAACAAAGAAATAAAGACATGTGGTCAGAATACTGTGACGAGTCTGAGGAATATGAACAATGATGGCTCCACTCACTTGTCTCGACAGCCGTCGGTGCACTCACACCCGACCAGGAAGTCTGCACTGGTGTTGATGTATACTCCATCTTCAGGAATCCGCTCTTTACCTTGAAGAGAAGAGAGGAGGCAAAGGAATTAGGGTCAGCAAAAGTTTAGCTGCATTGATATGTAATAATTTATTAATGTATATGTTGTACATGCAGGTGAGGACGAAAGCTCAAGGCTTGCAAAAATACCTTTCAGAAACAAAATAGTACTCTATGGATCTATCATTGCACTTTAATGGTATTGTTAGTGTTCGGGTGGACAGTTTAAAAAGAAAAATGTGTGAATTTAATACTTACTGTAAGCTACTTTCTGAGGCGGGCCAGAATCGATCTCATTGACGCAGGAGAGGGGGATGTCCTCTTTTCCATTAGTGATGTCTGGAATGTAATAGAAGGGCCTCTGTGGCTGGAAGGGCCTGTCCACGAACACGTAGGGGTCGAGACAGAACATCTCCAAGAAGATAAAGTCACAGCGCGTCTGGAAGAGGTAATGCTGGATCTCCCCCATGTTTCGCAGGCAAAGCCCACACGGAGCCTTGTAGATCACATGGAAAGACATCTGAGGGGTGGACAAGAGGAAGACAAGAGTTTTACAATTCAATTTAGGTAGTCGTTCATATAGCTACTACATCATACTACTCTTCCTTCATATTTACCTTCCGGTTAACTTTGCACCGTCCCGTCATGCGTCTGAAGTCGTACAGTAGAGGTGTGAGGAGGGGGTTCTTCCCTCGGTGCACGTCTGGTTTTACAGGTCTGACGCTGTTCAGACATGCGGGCTGACAGGCGTGTGCCAGGTAGGAGATGCGGTCCGTGGAGGCGCGGTAAGAGGGCTGATGTGGGACGGTGGCCATCGTGTGGGGAATAGCAGGGGGGAAAGAGACCAGAAGGGGGGGTCTCGGAAAGGACTGCTTGAAAGTGGGACCAGCAATATCCTGGGTGCTCAACATTCTTGCACTATGGATCGACAAAAGAAAGAGAAAAAGGTCAGCATCTTATTAGGACTGTACCAAATGTTTTTGAATAAAGCTCTGAATGTCTGTAGTCATATTCATTGAAATCCTAACACTAAATAAAAAATCCTCAAACCTACTCCTCACTTCAAAATAAAGTGACTCATCAGATTAATTTAGTTAGTCTTTTAAAAAACACATTCGTTAGTATGAAAGGGATGACATCTTGATACAGCACTGAAGGTCAAGCTAATGCAATTTAACTCATTCACTATTATACAGGCGTGTGCCAGGTATAATAGTGAATGAGTTAAATTGCATTAGCTTGACCTTCAGTGCTGTATCAAGATGTCATCCCTTTCATACTAACGAATGTGTTTTTTAAAAGACTAACTAAATTAATCAGTTTATGTTTCCCATATTGATCAATCATGTCAATACAGGGATGAAAGATCTGCGCAGCCACTGATAATGTTCAACATTTTTCATCAGATATCCCTTTATAGATAAAGGCAAAATGGCACTAGAGTTTCAACTATTTTGACAACAAATATGTAGTGATTGTGCATTGCAAGTTATGTTAAATTTGCATGTCAAATAACTAGTTTGACGATTTGGAATATACTTAAAATGCCCTTTAACTTATTAGAAGAAATGATGAGGTGGACTCACCTAGAGAGGTTCATGGGACCGGCAGAAAGAGACTGCATGATTTTGGAGGCATGGGTCCCTCCTATCCCTGGAATAAACGGAGAGGTGCTCTTCTTTGCCATCTGATGTTTGTTGCTTGAAGACAGCGAGGAGAGAAAGACAGTCAGTCAGTATCAAAGGTTTCCACTGCCCTTATCAACTAGGTTTAAAGCTCCAAAAATCAACAGTTTGTCTTTCATTGACTAAGCATCAAACATGTGTAATGTGAGAGCGGTCAATGGTTAGTGATTTCCATCAGGAGTTGGTGTAGCTGAAAAACCAAAAATAATGAATATTGTATTGAAATGTATCGCAAAAAAAAAAGGAAAATCGCAAAAACATGAATCCAAATAAAGGTTAATGTTAGTCTTTGTCTTTTAAATGTGTAGAAAAGGTTCTCTATCAATTCACATTTTGTGTAACTAAGCCACTGCCAGGTCATTATACAGTATGTGTATTTTTTGTTGTTGTTCTGCTAACCCTAAGTGGCCCAACATTATGCTGCTTTGAGAAGGACTTAATGAGTACTTTAACACCAGAGGCTTGTACTACGAAGCTGGATTTTCGCTTAGCCGGCTGACTTCAGGGAAATCTCGGGCTTTCTGGTCCTACGACGCTGGTTCTCTTTTTAGCAGGCTAGATTTCCATGGTAACTTATGCTGAGCGGCTAACCTGCTCCGGAGCAGGTTAGGTGGCAGGCTAAGAGATCAACTCAGTGAAAGAACCGCCTGCTGACCAATCAGAGCTCCGTGTGCGGAGTTTAAAGCTATCATTCATATTACAGGATAGAGGAAATACAGAAAAACTGCCGTTGCAGGAACGACGGCCGGCCAAAATCAACTGATTGTGTGAACGTGAAAATTAATAGAATATCCCCTCCCATCTTCAGAGCAATCTGACTATTATAATATTAGCGTTAAGAAAGCTTACTTAAATATCTGCCACGACAGAAGGAACCGGACATTAAGTACAGTCCACGGCACTGTGAGTGCAGACGTCGATGTGTCCCATTATCATTCATATCATATCACATCATAATGTATCATATATTTCCTTATCTGAGTCAGCTTCTTGAGCCGTATCTGGCCGTGCAACACTCACAGTGTCACATACTGTATGCAGAAGTATTATTTTAAGCAACACATTAAGTTGACGAAACACTCGAGTCAAATTCTCCTAATTAAAGTCAGATCCACTCGTGTCTTGGACGGGGCAGTGATTTCATAAACCTGTTAATGTACGCATTCAAACACTTTTTCTTTTACCAGCTGTATTCACCTTGCAGGTGCAGCTATGTGGCTTTTATCCTGGATAAAGTGTTTAAGTCATGGATGTTTAAAGTTTAACTTCTTCATATTTGACTAATATTAAAGTTCACTTTTCATTCAGGAAGTATGACGCTGCGCTGTCAGTACGCTTGTCCATGTTTGAGATTGGTCGAATGCTCCAAATACCACCCCTTTCATGTGAACGCGCACCTAACTAGATAGGACACGGCTGGCTTGAGCGATCCACTTGATAACCAGCGTCGTAGTACAGCTTAGCCAGAGCGCGTATGTTTTGGATTGGGCCAACCGGCTAACTCAAACATATCCAGGTTAGGTTGAACCAGCTTCGTAGTACAGGCCTCTGGTAGAAAAGCAGTATTTTGCTGCCCTCTCTGGTGGAAAATGTAAAACCTGTTTTCAGTTATTAAACGTTTTATAAGCCAACGCCCACTTTATTTCAAATTAGTATGAATGAAATTGGGAAGATTTCACAGTGCAGTATAATACATGAACACAATTATTTTCTCCCTTTTCCCAAATGGTGATGGCTCTCAGTGTTTTTATTTGGATATTGTGACGTTAAACCTCTAACTGGATCATAAGAAGACACAGATTTTTGTTATCGAGATTGTTTCTTATAAAAAGGTATATCCCCCCGTTGATTCAGATTTTGTTGCAGAGTATACACCACAGAAAGAAATGCGTTCAGGAGTGTTAGTGTTAGATCAGAAATCATCACTGAGGGGGCTGAGGAGGCGGAAGAATCTGTTGGATCTGTTGTGGCTGAAGGGGCTGAGGGGGCAGAGGACCCTGGTGTTGTTGTTGTTGTTGTGGTTGTGGTTTTTGTTGTTGTGGTGATTGTTGTTGTGGTGATTGTTGTTGTGGTGATTGTTGTTGTGATATCTGCGGAGGCTGGCTGGGTGAGCCCTGCGGCGTTTTGACTGAAGTTCCAACATGTCCGTCACTGGTGTACTGGACTACTGGACCTTTACTCCTCAACGCCCCTGAAGATTAAAGTGGACAAAAAACAAAACACATGAATGAATGTTCTTGAACATGATATTAACAGAAACACTATAAAAATGGTGGTCGTTTTCTTTGGGCGAGACACCATTTACCTGTAGTGTCTCCCCTTAAAACACTGCATCAACTTGTTATAAATTGGGCTTTTGACATGGATTAATGGTGTAGGTTGAAACATTACCCATGTTAGGACGGCTCCTCTGCTGGCCAGCCAGCTTCTTCTCCTGGGTGTTGGCGGAGGTCATCTTCAGGTTGAACATTGGCTCCAACCTGGTGGAGCCTCTATAAATCCACTCACTCCTCTTGTCATCCTGATAAACACAAAAAGCTTCATCAACTGCTGCACAGATAGGTCAACTTCAATCTGATGTGGGTACTGGCAATTAACATAAATCCTTCTTTTAACTAGTAAATGCTTTTTATCATTGATCTAACCAACATACCAAAAAGAGGATCTTGACCAAGCTCCCTTCCACCTCCTCAACTTTGCTCTTCCACCAGGTTCCCTCCCACTCCGTCTTGATGATCTGTCCGACCTTCAGGAGCACCATAGGCCTGCTGGGATATGCCGTGATGTACTCCTCAATTAAGTCTCGGCATGATGCATCCTCTATATCCTCCCAGGTACGCTTCACTGTGAACGAGGATCATCACAGTCTTTAATTAGTATATTCATTCATGCATTTAGACAAGTAATTCAACAGATAACAAAAAAGAAAGAAAACACGGAGAAATTGGCACTCACATGGTTGGCAAACTGGGTGGAGATCAGGTAGGTCGACATATGAAGCATAGCCATCATCAAAAAAGATCAGAAACCTGAAAACATACAATAAATGTTTAAATTCAAGGTCATTTGTTGTCATATTCTGCAACACAATTTTGCACAGCAAAATGCAAATGGACCAACAAATGTTTGCTATACGTCAATTTAAAATTATTTAATGCCGGCCATTAAACTCTAAATACACGGACCTCATGCGGTTCTTGTTGTTGGGCATCTCTGCCACGACTCCAGCGTAGAGGCACACCAGGATGCCGCCCTGGTGCTTGGCGACGACACGAGTCCCGACATACAGAATCTCCAGGATGGGGTTATATTCGAAAGCTACATGATTCCCAGACAGCAGACTCTTCCCTTTATCAAACTTCACTTTATACTTGAATACACCATTTCCTGAAAATAAACAGAGGGTGTGTTTATTTATAGATGGCACAATTGAACTAATAAAATACAAAGTACAATAAATAATTATATTTACAGGAAACTTGAAAAGCATAAAAGAAGAATGAAATGTTTTGGTAACGTACCGACAGGGCTGATAGAAACGAGGGTGCCTTTGTGCCAGGTCTTGGTGCCTTTCTTTCCCAGAATGGTCATCCCGACTCTCAGCTCGTCTTCTGTGATGTTCGAGTTCGGCTGCGTCATGGAATGAGACGGAGCCTGGAACACAAACACTGCTGGCACTGAAGCCTGAATACCTGAAGGAAGGAACAGCCAAACACACTGTTAACATAAAATCTACTTTCACACAGGTGTGGATTATCTAACATTGTTTAGGGAATAGGTGTGTGCTAACCTGACTGCGATGGAGGCTTTGATGGAGACCGTTGCCAAGCAGCATTTGGTGAAGGCTTGGTGACAATTTGGCTCAACTTCTGCACCTGCTGGGAGGTTTTCTGTAGTGCTGTCCAGGCATCTTTTAACTGGAAAAAAATAATTAAACATGCCATCATCATCTGCATACACTACAATCAAATGGATAGAATATCCACAGTTTCCCTAGTAAGCATGTTCGTATATATGTCTAACATAGCAGCAGCTTGAAAACAACTTAATGAAGTAGTGGGGCTTGTTAATTGGGAAAACATATCAGCTAATGGCAGTTGCCCAAGAACATCAGCAATAAGCTTTTGAATAATTTTATTTTTTAAGGTATTTTTTGGGCCACCAGTGCCTTCATTGAAGGGACACGGTTTAAATGGGATGGCAAAGGGAATGACACTCAGTAAATGGTCCCAAGCCAGATTTGATCATCTGATCAGCTAATCCAAGTGAGATAGATTGGTCTGCCTCCGATGGATCAGTCAGAGTCACTGCTCAGTGGGCAGCTGGCACAGCGTTAAAACTAAGTGGGAAGTCATCAGGATACGCCGGACTCCTCATCGGCAGACTCTGGTTTAGAGACATGACCCAGAACAACAAAGACGCCAGGAGAAAAAGGGCGAGAGACAGTTGGTAAAAACCGAATGGAAATATTTTAACATTTAGGTGTTAAAGACAGAGGGTGGGAAAGAGGTGCTGCAGTACAGGCAGTAAGAGAAAAAGAAAGGTCTTTTTTTTTTACTTTAAAGCATGTAAACATGTCACAGTAGAGGCACAACATACAATACGAACTGGAAAATGAGCATATATGTTAAAGAAATCCACAGTGTTTGTCAAAAATAAGTTGACAAAGTTTTCTAAATTATTAAGATTTAAAATAGCCACATCCAGAAAGGCTTTTTTCTTTTGGAACCACAAAATAAATATGTTAACACATGAATCAGACAGCCCACAACAGACATTGAGCATGAAGTGTAAAAAGGGATCACAGAAATGAAACTTTGTGTTGTTCTTACCAGTGGATCTTTGCAAGGAGTGCCGGGTTTCTTTGGAGGAACCACTGAAACATTATAAAGGACAGATGATATTTAATAACCTGATTGTTTTCCTCCTGTAGTAGAAATTAAAATCGCCATTAAAGTAGAACGACTTACAACAGCCAACATCAATGACGTCATCGTCTTCGTCATCGTCCATCTCAATTACTTCAGAGGGCAACAGGCCCCCCCCGCCGCCCTCATCCTCCGAGCTGCTCTCTCGGTAAACAAGACCGTTCTTTTGGTAGGCTTCCTTCACAAGTCTCTCACACTCCAATATGGATCTGAGGAAAAATGTCAAACAAAAATGTATAAATTGCACACTGAACAAATGTCCACTTATTTAACCAAGGTCAGGTTTCAATCACTTATCTTCATCAGACTACAGAGTGTCGGTGAACAGTTGTCACTGGACAATGATTCTGTTTGTGTTGATTTTATACATAATGCTTAAGTATGATAGTGTAAAGAATGTAACACAATAACATGGGGTGCATTGATCCATAGTAAGTCAATAATCAAATATCATCTATTGCAAAGTGAAAACATATTATCATTTGATTCATTATTATCATTTTAATATACACCATGGTAGACTTTGTGATGCATCGTAGTGTTGTTCAAAGTATTGCAAGTACTGTATCATATTGTGATGGAAACCTGTCATTTAAACCTTTAACAAGTACCCACAAAGTACAAATGCAAACAACCAATAACATACTTAACAATAATAAACACTGAGATAAGGAAGATATGTATCCTTATAGAATAAATACTGTATAAAGACTAAAACCATCGGACTTTGGGAAAAAGCTACGTACTTGTTGGCCTCGATGAGAAGCACGTTTGTCTTTGCCTCCTGTTCCTCTTTCTGCTCCACCCATTCCTTGAGCTCTGTCAGTTGAGCCTTTTTCTTCTGCACAATTTCACTCTTCTCCACGGCCTCATCAATCCACTTCTCCAGCTCATCCAGAGAAATGCCCAGCTCTTCCTCCAGATTGGCGTCCCAGCCTTCCACCTCCATTCTGAGGAGGGGAAAACAAACAGAAATAGGAAACGTAGTTATAATTTAAACCTACTTATATAGGTCTTTCCAGGTCTCACTCATTAAATTGCACCGAAACTGTTGTTTGAAGTAATACCAGCATTCCTTTATTGCCAGCATTTTGTAACTCAATAACATAGATGTTCAGGGTGTTTGATGTTATTGTTGAAACAAGCAACAATACAAAGTATGACATTAATGTATATGATCACCTTAATGTAAGCATGTCTTAATATTCCTAAAAACACCTAGTCAATTAATAATTATTTGATTAAAAAATGTTCACCAGTAAGATTATTTTATCTATGATATATCATACCCCTCTATCAATGCTAATACTGTTGCGGAAGAAACCTCTGAAGTTGGGCCGGATGTCTTCACAACACTATGTTAACACTTATTTAACTTTCAAAAAGTCAAAAGAGTTCCAATAGAATAGAGTTTACTGAAGATTCAACAAAATACAGCAAACACGAGTCAGTTCATCAAGTGGCTACTTTTACAATGTTCATGCTTCTGTTTATACACATTTCTTATCAGTTTTTTCGCCTTCCTATATATGTGTGTGTGTGTGGCCTACTTTTCTTTCATCCCAGCAATAATCTAATTTGTGGAGTATCGGGTGATACCCATACACACACAAAAATATCCCAAAATACCTCAATAATGAATCCACACATACAGCTCAAACCTAGTTAGAGCTCTGCTTGTAATGTCTGCAAAAACATATGAGAATTGCATGCTGATATGTCAGTATATATCGATTACCAGAATAAACATGAATGCATCCCTGATTTCTTTCCTGTGTATATCTGAGATGTGGAGCCACATTTCACACGTGTTTACACTTCTTCCTCTCATTCATACCGACTTCAATATGTTGTTGTTAACCCAAACAGAGAGACTGGGCTGATGTTTACTGCTATTCCCACCAAAAAACCGATTGCAATACATGTAGTGTAAATGAAGCCACTGCAAGAGCTGCATTTAAGCTTTGTCTTTTAACATTGCTGGCTAGCACAACAAGGGCCGAAATCCCTTTACAACTTCCAAATATTACCTCGGTAGAGATCGAAACTGACAATTTAACATAACCACAACCTAACCGACACTTTAAATGAAATCATTCAGGTCAGCTAAATCAGGGGTTCCCAACCCCCGGAGGTGTTACTGCCGGGCCGCAAAATAGCTGTGAGTTTATCGTAATATTTGCAGAATTATAAATATATAAAAATATTTTATCAAAAAAAGAATTCAATTTTTTTTTTCTTTTTTCGCACCTATACCAGTCATATTATTTCATCCAAAACATACAAAATAAATCAAAATTGGTTAGCATAAGGTCTCAGCCTCTCGTGCGCACGAGAACGTTACCGGTACGCCAATAGGAAGTGGAGCACACAGGAGAAAACCGTTTCATCGCAGACTGTTATGCTTACGTGGGGAAATGGCAGTGCATACATTATTTGAGATATATTTCGAACTCTGACTTCATTTTAAGGACATTGCGGCCAGGGGTGTAGAGCTATTTTTTGTAAAACCTCCTTCACTTCATGAAATGGCTGCAGCATCAGGAGGCAGCCTCTGAGAAGTGCAGCACCAGCGCGTACGCACCGCCTTCACTGTGTTCACCACTGCAGGCTGCTACGTCTCAACCACACACACCTCTACACACACACACACACACACACACCGAACTGCCTGATTATTTAGTGGGAATGCTGTTAACAGCATTCCAACTATCTGTTCTTCTATGCACGAAATTCTTTATTCTTATTATTCCGCCCGTTATTTTGCCGGTCTTCTTCTCCCGCATTGAACATCGCAGAAACTCTGTTGAAACATCAAAACGTTCAGCTCGGTCGGGAATCGATGGCTATTACTTTTCTCATTTATAACTTTCATAATTCCAGAGATACATCCCATAATTCATCACATTTCTAACCATTGAAGTCAATGGAGAAATTCTTCAGACTTCAACAAATCTTCATGCGACTTCAACTGCTAACTGTTCATTCCAACTTTAAAATGTTACACATCTTTCTGACATTATTCGTGTAACACAACTTTTAAATCTGATTCTTACTTTTAGAGATATTAAACATTGTTCAGACCTTGTTACAGAGGCCTTCTTCAGATTTTAACATTAAAGGAGAGGTGTCATGCTTTTCCGGTTATTACCCGTCCCCTTGTGTGTTATGAAGGTTTTTATGCATGTAAACGGTGTGCAGAGTCAAAACCCTCAAAGTACACCCTATAGCGAGTAAAACTCTAACACAGAAAATACCTCCCCAAAACGTCTCGTTGGAGATACGTCATTGTCCATTTGATTCTTCCGGGACGGCATGATGTCAAGCCGTACCCGGAACGAAATGGACCAATCCGTGGAGCCGTTACGTTACGTCCGTGGAGCCGTTACGTTAAGCCCCCGCTGATTGGTCCAAATTGACCAATCCACGGACTTCCTCACACACAGGCAGCTCAGCTGATTTCTCCTCCCTGGCTGCAGGCTGATAACAGACAGTTGGGATCGCGGCAAAATTCTCTCTGCAGACCCATTCTCACAGCGTTTATCAACCTTTTTCTTACTCAATATCAAGCCACACTTATTGTTTTTACTTCGGATGTGAGTTTGTGTGTGCTCAGGATGAGTTTGGCTGTGTTTCGCTATGTATCCTAAACAAGGAAACAACACCTCCACGGAGCTCAGCGCGATTCACAACGTCCCGACCAATCAGAGCACACTGTGCTCACAGGGAGGGTGGGGGCTGGAGCTATTGGAGCTACAACGAGCCGTTAAAGGCAGAGAGTGAAATTCAGTGAATACAAGTAGTTTACAGAGATGCTATATGAGAAACCAATGTGAGTTTGGAAAAATGCACAATATAAATCTATTTTACTATACCTCAACAATGGAATTATGATCAGTGGAAATGGCCATGACACCTCTCCTTTAACTAGAGTGCGTGATGTCACAGCTAGAGTGGAGGAAATCTTGATATTTGCCTTCATATTTGTTTTTAAAACTGCCATAATTCCCAAACCCTACATTCCTGAGACATCATTTTTCATGACAAACGTAGGAAAACATCTCGTAGCTTGAAAAATGACAAATAATTAAGCAAAATGCCTCTTGAGGGCATGAAGTGACAAAAACGTTCAACATGTCTCCATTAAAGCCCATTGTAATTTCAGGCTGATATTTCCTCACAGCAGCAGCCGCACACCTTTAGTTAATCTGCCAAAAAAGGCCACATTATTGACCCGAAAGTACACAAAAAGCACACTTCAGATACTCAAGGTCCTTGAGATGCTTCACGCTTTGAAATTTCACCGATATCTTTTACGGTTCTTCAACAAAACGTTCACATGTAAGAGGTTTATCTCTCATTCAGAACAATGGAAACCTTTGATCTCTGGACACCTCGTTAGCTAAAATATAAACACCTGTGTCATGGAACACGATGATGTCATAACTCCAACTGACATGCTCAGAGCAGCAGACTTCAGATAATGGTTAATGGTCCTGCCCTCAACAGCTCTACGTCAATTATGGGGTGTCATCATATGCCGTTTCCATGGAAGATCAAGAGGGCGATCAAGAGAAGAGAGAGAGGGTGATAGAAGAGTGAGAGGGTGATCAAGAGAAGAGTGAGAGGGTGATCAAGAGAAGAGAGAGAGGGCGATCAAGAGAAGAGAGAGAGGGCGATCAAGAGAAGAGAGAGAGGGTGATAGAAGAGTGAGAGGGTGATCAAGAGAAGAGAGAGAGGGCGATCAAGAGAAGAGAGAGAGGGCGAGCAAGAGAAGAGAGAGAGAAGAGAGAGAGGGCGATCAAGAGGAGAAAGAAGAGAGAGAAGAGAAGAGAGAGAGTCAAACTAAAGTGGAGACATGGCAGAAACCCTACAGTGAAGTGTTCTCCTGTGAGAGGGTGATCAAGAGGAGAGAGGGGGGGCGATCAAGAGAAGAGAAAGAGGGTGATCAAGAGGAGAGAGGGGGGCGATCAAGAGAAGAGAAAGAGGGTGATCAAGAGAAGAGTGAGAGGGCGATCAAGAGAAGAGTGAGAGGGCGATCAAGAGAAGAGAGAGGGCGATCAAGAGAAGAGAGAGAGGGTGATCAAGAGAAGAGAGAGAGGGTGATAGAAGAGTGAGAGGGTGATCAAGAGAAGAGAGAGGGCGATCAAGAGAAGAGAGAGAGTAATGTAACCTCCTAATGTAATGTATAACTCCTATGAAAATGTTCAAAAAATGCTCAAACTTCACATGTGTGCTAACAGTCCAGCCGTGAAGACATCTACGGGACATGCCATTGCCATGGCAACACAATGCCCGCCATGAAACACGGTTCTCATAACTTCAGTGAAAATGCTCCAAATGGCCCAAAACTTCACAGGTTTGGTAACGATGCAGCCATCAACGCATCTAAGCGTATTATGGGATGTCATAAAATGCCGTTGGCATGGCGACAGATCATTCACCATCAAGTTAGTTCAAAAGTTTGCAGTTCAAATATTCTGCTGCTTTTCCAAGCCTTTTTACTTTCTTTTCTTCTCTCATCACACATTCAAGCCCCCAGTGTTCATGTATAATTTAAATTCTTCACTTTCTTCTTACACATTACATTTCAGCATAGCAGTTTAGCGTCAGATTTTCAGCATAAAGCATTCCCACTAGCAAGTTCTTCAGGAATTGCATTCTCTAGTTGCCCCTATTACTCGTTGTATGAAGGAAATGTCCGGTCACAAAGGCACATGATGTGTGTGTGTATGTGCTCTGCTCAGCTCCGCTGTGTGCGTGTATGTTCGGTGTGTGTCCAACAACGGCATTTGTTTTCAAATTACCATGAACAGTAATTTACACACATCTGGCCAACTCCATAGGTATATGTGGGTGTTCCCAAAAGCACCACACACACACACACACACACACACACACACACACACACACACACACACACACACACACACACACACACACACACACACACACACACACACACACCACACACACACACCACACACACACACACACACACACACACACACACACACACACACACACACAACACAACACACACCACACACACACACACACACACACACACACACACACACACACACACACACACACACACACACACACACACACACACACACACACACACACCAACACACACTATATATATATATTATATTAACATTTGTAATGCGGTCATAATTTTTTTGTTTTAATTGTATCCTGGTTTTAAACGTTGTCAATATGTTTTGGATGCATATTGGTATTTGTTCAGGCTGTTAAATACAATTAGCCTCTGTTGCCACCTGCTGGTGAGTAAATATTAAAATCAGTTAAAATTGACAACCGGTCCGCGATTTTTTTTTAATGTATCTGCTGGTCCTTGGCACAATAAAGGTTGGGAACCCCTGAGCTAAATGACAATAAACTGAAGCATGATACCAGTGAGAGCAGCTCGTTAGCCTAGCATTAGCCTGCAGAAAGTTACTTCAGTGGACTGACTGGAAACAAACGGCATTGTGTCCTCTGGAGTTCATCTCAAAAACACATCAGCGGTAAACTTAATTCAGAAATAGCATTCAACACTCACCCCTCGCTGCTCTTCTTATTCTTCTTTGGTGTTTATTGGCGGTTGGCAAACCAACTTGTAGGAGAGGCGAAGTCACGCCCATCTACTTCCGGACCTTATTTCGGAAAAGTTCAATAGTCTAGCTGCAGCAAAATTTGAAATATTTTGTTATATTATTATTATTATTTAAAAAAATTATAAAATTCACCCACACACGCATGCCATCTTTTCTCCCACCACACTTCACTTTGCCATGCTAGGAGGCGAACCACCGACCCTCTGGTTGTTAGGCATCCATCCACTAAAACTTAAAAAAAAACTTTAAATTAAAATCCTCGCCGACAGGGGGGCAGTCAGGGGGGCAGTCCCCCGGAGGTGTTGGGGGCGTACTCTGTATACGCTATACTCTGTACTCTCTGTACACTCAGATATATGATTTATTGTATCATAGCCTGATTTTATTAAACATTTGTCAAGCTGTTGAGGATGGGAATAGCCTAAATTGTCACATGACTTCACAGGGTGTGTTCATGGTCCTTTTTGAGAGAACAGTGCACTGTCAATGATTTGATGGTATTTATACAAAATTAGTATTGGAATCAGTTTCATTTAGAATAAAATACAGAGTAAAAAATGTTAGCAGATGGATTTACATGAACATTTATATAAAAAAGCAACACATTTTACAAGACATCTTTTTTATTGTTTTAATAAAATGTGATAGGCCTATGTTACAATAACATTTTAAAATAGGTGTTAAATCGGTACCCTAATAATTACAGTGATCATGACTCATGATCACTGTAACCATAGTACTCATGATTCCTGAGTACTATGGTTCTTTAGTTTAGTTATGCTGATATCATTAAGATCATTCAAATGGAGCAGTGTCTTGTCAATAGCTGTGACAGTTCAGCTGGTGCTGGGATGATTGTTTTTGGTGGAGTGGCCTCTGCGTGATCCTTTAGACAGCTGATAGGTAGAGGAAGCCTCAGGAGGTTGATCACAGTTTATCTCTAGCTCCCTCTGTACGTACTATAGGAGAAACGACTCAGCAGCAGAGGGACATGGTACTTTTGGCCTGGGTCAATTATGGTGAAGACAATCTGCAACAAAACACCAAACATGAAAGAGATCAACAATTACAAGTAAAAGATTTATAGGATTGGTAACATGCATGTGAAATGTTAAAGGAGGATACACAATAACTGATTAAGTAACACAAATATAGTACCATAACAAGCAAACAAAGGAGCAACTAGGAATGGAAGCTTTTTCCTCACCTCAACATACGGGTAAAAACAGGTCTCTCCCATACTCTCCCAGTACAGAGCCGTCTCAAAATGCAATCTATACACGCCAGCAATAAACATTTCTTTTGTAATGAGTCCAGGGCAGCGTCCATCAGCATTAGTGGTCCTGTTGAGACAAAATAGTATTGTGGACCTATGAATGACAATACACATTGTCAAGTGTTGTTTCAGATGTTCCTGCGATCATAATTTGTGACTTTATGAGCTATTTTGATTGCGGCTGTCGTTTTTACCGAGAGGTCAGCAAACTCCAGGTATTAGTGGTGGGGTCTTGTCGATAGAGACTGAGGGCCATGTTCGAGCCAGGGACACCCATAGCTGTGTTCAGCACATGGGTGCTCAGAGGACTAGGGGCTGCCATTGCTGTGATCTACAGAACAATAAGTAAAACGTATATGATTCAATCTGAAGAAATCACATTAAACAACAATATTAATAATTCCACAAATGTTTTTCTAATAGTTTCTTGAAGGGACATGGACTGTGATTTAATATGTATAAATCCTTAGGATAGTCAAATCACAATACATGAATCTCCCTTTAATAGCTAAATACTAAATATGCCATCCGACTGATAAATACAAACTCTTCATATCATATTTGTATAGCACAATTGAATAAAATCTTCTTAAATGTTAGAATTATTTCAGTGACTCAACTATTGACTGCTCCTATTGGGCTATAAAATAAAGTATACAAAACAATACAACACATTAATTATAATCTTATATTCTATTGAATAATTGTATTTTATTAAAGTTTGTTTTGTGCTTACCTTATTTTCAGGAAAAATATGACCCTTGAGTTGCTGCAGCCTGGACACACTCATGTGCACTGATGAATGAAATCCAAACTAGCACAGCAGTTTTAGTCAACCAAATTGTAATTTTATGGTAAATTAAAAGGCATCAGATGTTTGTCACATTGCCTTCATGCAGTTCTGCACCCTGTCCTTTTCGGCATGACATTCAGTACTCGTGTGCTTATCTTTTTGTCAACAGACGACTGGTTGTGCAAGAGCTCTTTTTGTCACACTTTGCTTTCAGCACTTTGAACTAAGTGGAAATGGATGATCCAAATGCTCAGAGGGCGAAGTAAATGCAGACAAGCACAGTTACTGGAATTAAAAGAAACATAGTATTTTTTTATTATTATTTCCTAACATGGATGTTTGACTGCTAGGTTAATAAACCCTGAATACACAACCTTCAACTTCCTGGTTGAATTCCACAAGTTAATTCCCTAACAGACATGCTGTGTAGCCTACTCCTCTCTCTGAAGCTCTGTTAAAAAATAAAAGAAATGTGACCGATGCAATAGGCTAGTTCTGCTTTGAAAGCACTTCCTGTAATTCAATGAACCGAGTTGTGGAATAGTCAATGATTTTAATCCAAAAATAAGACTGCTTGAAAGGCTAGGGTCGGTAAGATTTGTAATAATAACATGTTGCCAACTCTTTTGAAATGATACCTAGCCGCAATTGCTCCAAAAGACGCTAAAGCGAGAAATTAACAAAAAACTACACTGACACAACGTCCCTTCAGGAACTCCCTTCAAAGCCGCTTCCCAGAACAATGTCAGTAACGTAAACAGTTTAGAGTGAACGTAAACAACATGGCTAATGTTAGAAGGCTACTCACTGCTGTTAAGCTACCAGCCTGTGCTAGACTCTGGTGACGCGCATGAGTGCACGGGCAGGGTGCGTAGTCCTGCGACATGCGCATATACCGGATTTGTATAGTAGGCCTACAGTTGTGAGGTAATATCCAGAACTGAAAGTATTTACTATTAACACGCATTTCTACCATAGCCCATGGGCTTTATCAGCAAATTGAACATAGGCTAAGTTTTACATCAGTATATTAGTCTTAACAATTAACTTTGAACCTAATTCAAACTTATTTTCCTGATCTGATTTGAATAGTTATTTTAGTCTTATTATGTATGTTATATAGCAGGATCTCATGTGCTGTTAAAGAGAGTAGCCGGAGGATTGTTCTACAATATTTTCGCAAAGAAAATGCCATAAACTATATGTTATATACCAGACCAGCAGCCTTCAATACAACACACACAGTAAACCAGCTTTCCTCTGTTTAGTGTGGAATATAGTATAGAATCAATTATTTCGAATTACTTTTACAATTTGGATTAGTTGCACACTTTTAGCGGTCACATTTTGAAGCTTTCAGCATTTCTTTATGTAAATAATGATCAATTAAAGAAAACTTTGTTTTGATTTTGTTTGTTTCTCTATCCCTTTTTTAATGTGTCGCTCTTGGTTCATCAGAATAAAAACACACTCCCATGTACTGTACTTATACTCAATATGAAAATACTTTTACTACCGTGACAATGAGTATTTTCACTTGGCTTATCTTAAGAATGCAAACAAAACCATGTAACACCATAAGAATAACATGATTGTTTTCCTTTAAAAAAAACATGAGAAGTCCTAAAACAAGAATAAAATCAGACGGTTCAACAATTACATTAAAGTTTACAATAATACACAATATTACACACAGACCTGGGCCTTTGCATGTCTTAAAAGTGCCAAATACATGGTGGAAAATAGTTGTAATACTCATCTAATAAGTTTGAAGTACACAAAAGACATTGGTTTACAGAAGTATGTATTCTGATACTCATAACCAGAAAGCAACCGTTTCTCTCCTGCATGATCAGTTTGACTATCATCCCTCAAGTATTACTGTGATTTACTTTGACAAGTACAATTCTGATTTCTGAGAAGAATACAACAAAGAGAAAAAGGGTTAGCATTAACAAAAAGCACTCTTGAAATATCAAATTTGACAGTGTTTTCTTTTGCTTTTACATGTTAAAATAATTTGGGAATCACAGAAGAGCTTTTCATTTCTCAGTAGATGCACAACATTTTCTAGATATACCCATAATTCTGAAAATCATAATAATGTAATATTTTTACCCGGTTTATAACCACTGTGCTGCATTAATATTTCTGGTTCTATATTGTTTGTATTCCAGCTAATTCAAGATGTAAGAAATCCGTTTTTGGGAGAAACTGGTGAAACAGCAGAACCATTGTAGTACCTGTGTACCTCTAACAGAAACATAATACTTTTTTATGTACAGTCTGATAATGGCAAGCTGCCTGGTTTAAAAGAAGGTGGTAAGCTGCTTAAACAAAGTTTTAATCAGAGAACCCTATTGTCTCATTTGGAGTAACACTGTATTATTTGGATTAATACTGGAATATGTGTTGGTGCAAACCCTCTTATACAAATTATTAGAAATGCCTGCTGCTGCTAGAGGATAAAAAGTGAAATACACAACGTCCTTACATACCAAATACTAGTCAATCAGATGTGCATGTACTCAGTTTGTATTAGTCAACTCTGTCAGTGCTTTAGTTTTCCTCAAAAGTAAAAGAAACCAAGCTGCTATGATGCAATTAAATGTATTGTGTTGTCTGATATGTACACCCTGTTGGAAGGGAGTTGAGCCTCTGATATGAGCGTTTGCTTGGGCGTTGTTGTTCTCTTCCTCCATGTTTGGCACTTAATCCATGTCTTCTGTGTCTTCTCATGTTCCTCCCTCATATTTCCTCCTCAGGGTCAGAGCTGTGGTTGCTCATCTGTGACAGACAGGCAGACAAAGACGGGACAGCGAGAGACAAAACAAAGGGACGTTTCATTGTACTGCAATCTCACAATGACTAAGTATTCTTTAATGGAGCAAGCATTAATTGATTTCACCACAGCGGAGCCTCATGAGTAGATTCATCTCCTCACATCTCTTTGACATTGTTAATGGGAAAGCTTAAAATAATGTAATAGTAATTAATTTAAAATTAATATCTGGTCTCAAGATCTTTTTCAATTTCAGTGGGAACCTGAGTTGTTGTGTATTATTGTCCTAAATAAAAAAAAGAATGTAGCCACAAAATATGAACCCACAGACATTCTGCCTAAAACAAAGTAACCAAAAGTGCAGCTCCACTTTGACTTTTTTCATGAATATCAACCAATTATATCTATATTTCATATAAATATTTATCTATTCTAATGTTATAATAGTTTTTTTTAATGGTTTTTTAAAATAGGTTTTGTTTTAGTTTTTATAATTTATTTTCTTTAACTGTGTTTATATATGCGCCATATACACCAAGGCAAATTACTCGTATGTGTAAACCTAGCTGGCAATAAACTAGTTTCTGATTCTGATTCTGAGTAACTATAATCATGTTGTAAAGCACTAGGGAAGGAACAAGTGTGCACAGCCTTCAGGTGCATTTACCGTGTGGTGGTCATCATCAAGCTCCCTCTGGTCGGGTTTCTCTCGGTGGATTCGATGGCGAGAGCTGGGTGGAGAGAGGGAGGAGAGGGAGTGCTCGGGGCTGCTGGCAGACAGAGCGTATGGTGAGCCAGCTGGACTGTCCTCTCTCAGGGGAGACCCTAACACACAGGAATAAACACACACATGGAGTTTAGGTGTTGAGCTCTTTGGAGGATACAGAAAATACATGTGTTCTGTGGGTCAAATACAAAAACCTGCACACATCCCACTGACTTTGTACGAGATGACAGGCAGAATCTAATAAAGGGAGTGACAAGAGGAAGGACAAACAAGGAGATACCAGGAGAGAAGTGAGAGACAGCAGAGCTAAGTGACAGACAGGGGAATCAAGTCGAGCCGGAGATAAATTAATAGGCTATGAAGATGAGAGCTATCACACGCCCAAGGTCATTCAAAGTAGGAAGAACACACATACTTCCCTGAAGGTCTGCACCGTCAGTTAAATTAGCCCCAGGACACATTCTCATTTTAGTTCACTGTCTGTTTATTTATTCAGCCTGATGTTATGATAATGACTCAAGGTTACGGTTCTTTTTTTGTACAAGAGCATGCAGCAGTGATTGTGGATATAGTGCTCAGTGGAGGGTGGACTACAAATTAAAAGCGTTAACTTTGCTTTAGTTTACGATCAGTTTAATTAAGATTCCAGCAAAACCAATTTTCTTAGGAAGGATAATAAAGCTCTGCCTTGTTTCTTCCCTGGGTTGTTAGTCTTTTTGGCAGGTGCAGAAACTGTATTGGCTTCTAATGTCCACATGAGGACAGCAGAAGCTCTTTTCATGCACACTGAGCTGCTGTTGTTCCAATTCATGATATGTGTCTGTTTTCTGAAGCTTCACCAGTTCCTTCCACCACACTGTTTGTCCAGCATATTCGAGAATTCGCTCACAGCATTAAATCCAGACAACGCACTCCAGTTCCTATCAGCCTTTATTCCGTTTTAAAAAAAAATACCTGACGGGAGTAAAAATAATTGATTTGTCAGGTAAAAAAGGAGTGGCTCTGGTGGTGCAGTGCATTCCTTATTCCCCAGTTTCCCCTGCGGCACAGATCCTAAATCATTTTGAATGGGGTTGTGACTGTTGGAGATAATCAAGCAAAATTCTGAAAGTAGCCTATTGCCTGAGTCCGCCTTAAAATGTTTTTGATGTGCGAATAGATTATCTATCATTCGATCTCGCACCTACCTGCCTCCACTGTGTTTGTGAATGAGTGTCTCACCTTTGTGGTCATTCCTCTGTGTGTCCATCCTGTCAAGACTGTCAAGCAGCCCATCGATCTGTGTCTTTATCAGAGTCAGCTCCTTTTTAATCACCTGCAACTCCTCCATGCCCACTGCAGGGATGAAGAGAGGGAAAACGTAAAGGACATTAAGAAATTATACAAGCAGGACATCTCTCAGGGAGACCTTTAAAGTTAGACATATTGGGTTATGGGGCATAATATATTAAAATGTGGCATGTGGCATTATTTAGATTTTATGAACTAGTAGGGCAGCATGAGCATAATTAACTATCCCATTTCTAAGGGTCAGATTTAGGTGTCATGAAAGGGGTTTGATTACAATCATGTTTCTACACTGCGATGTTTCTCTCATCAGGAACATCACAGAATTTTTTTTTAAAACTGTTGACTGAACTTCAATACTCAGTGTGTGCTCTAAGTACTACACACAGCATACTTTGCCTGCAATTGCTTTATACTTGAGGGATGGGTATACAAAAGTATTAATCTGAGGTTGACATTTAATTCTTCATACAGACAGGCATTCTACTCACTAGAGTTTTAGAGAAACATTGTAAATCTGCAGCTTCTCGTGCAACCTTTTTCGTGACTTGTTCCATTCATATTACTCACACTTGGATGTGGTTGAATTAGAGGATTGGGCTCTGGAGCTTTTGGAATGGGTTCTGTCTCGACTGCGTCTGTGCCCAGAGGAGTGGGAGGAGGAGCGCGATCGCTTGGCCAGACTGGGTCCCAGGGGCAGAGGAGACAAGGAGGCGGGCACACGCTGGTAGTCATACGCCCTAAAAATGTGGGAGATACAATTTTAAAACATTAAAACAAGAATTCCTTCAAATCAGTTGTGGAGAAAAGTAATGTTTTGGTATCAATAGTAAAACTCAGTAATTGCATTGGGCCTAATGTTGAAATATCTTAAACCCAGCCGTAGCTCAAATAAGTTGGTGATACAAGTTTGAAAAAAAATTGTCCAAAAGGGAAACATCTTCAGTGAAGAAAAGCATATGTTGAAGCAGTTCATAGATAAATATGGATATTTATATTCTATGGTCCTTTGTCTTTCTATTTGGGTTTCTGTCTCTCCTGCGCTCGCGTAGCCTCCTCCCTGCGGACAGCTCCATGTCTCTATCTGTCACTGAATGT